GAACGTCAACGTGCGGTTTCTCCCTCCAAACACGACTGCGTACCTCCAGCCTTTGGACGCTGGCGTGATCGCTGCACTCAAGAAAAAGATTCAGCGCCTAAAGACGAAGTATGTGCTTACCAAGTTCGACAAAATCCGTCGTTTCCACAAGGCAGCGGGAACTGTGCCCTCGCGGCAGGATATCGCTGAAATGCACAAGGTTGATATGGAAAGCGCAATCCAGTGGGCTAAGGAGGCATGGAGCGAGGTCGAATCGTCGACGATTTCGAACTGCTTGCGCCATTCCAACATCCTTGGTGATGCCATGGAGAAGCTCGCCGAGGGTGTCCAAAGTGTGCACTTGAATCCGACGTCCATCCATTTCATAACTCAGTAGACGTTTGTATTGATGGATTATAACTTCAGTTTTAATGGACTTGTGAAAACTTATTACTCTCGTTATTAATATTCAAACCTCTGAAACTTGTTTGCCTTCATGGGAGACTATTGACTGTAGCATTCTAAGCATCAGTAACAAGTGTATAGTCATTGTTTGACGACAGCAAGATCAAGTTGTATCATATCATGTGCTTGGGCGTAGATACTATTACCATCGATTGGTCAAAAATATTCTAAATTTCCTGAGGATGATTTTGGACGTCGATTATATTAATATCCAGAAGCATGTTCGAGTTCCACGAAGAAAGGATTTCCTTCGTTACCTGTAACGTTATGAGGCATCGGAAATATTTATTTGCGCACTGCGTGGTAAATCTCTAAATGTAAAAAACTACATTCAAATTGGAAACATTTTGGTGCGGGAAATTGGCCAATCAAAAGACAAAGTCGCGTCGAATTTGACAAAAATTGGTCAACCGCGCTTCAAGCCAAGTGATCTCAAGCTCATTAGGGGTGGACGAAATATTTTGAAGGACTCACTCATACAATCGCACTGTACCAGTGCAATGCCAGCAAAACCGGCAATCGGCTGACACTCTGAACTATCGTGTGGTATATCCTAGCACATTTTGAGTGGTATACTTTGTTCAAGCTAGTTTCTTTCATGTGGCATTGATCACATGACAAACACTGCAAGGATATGAGATCTATCGATACGAGGGTTGCGAGAACTGCCTGAAGAATTGTAAGTTGGATCTCCATGAAGTGCTTGAATATACTAGCCACTTTGACTACGACTTTGGTGTGGCTGGACGTCGGCTGTATCCGGTGGAAATGATATCCGGATGTCGAAGGTGTTGTCGTCAACGGACACATTTCGGCAGACGTCGAGATGTATATCTTGGAATTTATATTATAATTCTGTATTTTTTATGTATTTTATTAGGCGATTCTAACATTACTCTTGAGGGACACCAAAAAGATATGAATTTGCGTTTGTTTCGAGTAGTACGTCCGAGACTCGGGCTCTTTCTTTTCGAATGAGCATTCCAAGGATTTGGTGACGTCGACATCTTCCGGTTGACTTCAAAGCAGCAGCACCACGAGTTAGCAATTGCATGTCGCCAGAGCCAATTCGTGGTTGTGTTGTCTTTTTCTTGGTGCTTCTCGTTTCTCATCTATTACAGAGTACCTTGCGCAACCACGACGATCGAATTGGAATAGAAAGGTGTGCAAGACGAATTCGTCGCCAATTGCCCCCACAGTATCGAGCTACAACACAATACGGCAACGATCGAGAACATGCCGGGGGCGCGCGGTTGACGAGTAAAAGTGTTCGTTCGGCCACTTGAAGTAGAATCCATAAAATCCGCACTGATCTCACTGTATTTTGCGATTTTTCTTGTCAATTTTTGACTCACCACAAATTCCATCATGTGGCGTGGTCGGTCCATTGGCCACCTGGCTCTTTGAATCAAGGTAATTGATGATCCTGTACTGGTTCGCTAGGAGTGTCGAAGTTTGTCTCGATGGAGTGTGGTTCCCTTCGAAGGCCCAGATACCAGGAAGTGTATTCCACATCATGTTTCAGCGGCTCGTTGCAATGGGCATCGAATGCCCCCGAGTGACCTGTCGCTCGTGCCCGGAACGAACCCCTTCCATAAGGTGTCGTAAACTTGGTGGACGAGAGATGCACTATACTTATTGGAGGTAATTTTAGGTGGTTGTGGTTCGATTGCAAGTTCGGATATCTGCAACTTGTCGGTCCTACAGCCCCGTCACCCCAGGGTCCTTTCAGCCCCGGGCATACAATAGCACCTATACGCGAGGTTACGATGCAGCACAAGTGGCTCGCTACCACAAACCACGGGTGGGCAGTTTACTATACCGAGTAGATTGGTAGAGGTTGAAGTAGTGGTTGCAGATGTTGTCTGGCGATCGAATCTTTACGTCGTCGACTCATCCTGCAAAATTTCCTTGAATCGAACCGGTCAGCAGTCGACACGATGTTGCGATGGTTGTTCGTAGAAATTTTGGAACCAATTTTCAAGGCCATCAAAAATTCCATTACACGCGGTGTGTCAAGTCGCTCGCACACATCGCGCGACCAGCCATGAGTCCCAGCATATACGAATTTGATCGAGCATGGTCAAGTGCATCGCACCCCCCCGCCGCCTGGGCGGTATTCTCGTCACAGCTGGTGCTGTCCTGTGTGGTTTGACGACAACGACTGTGGCCAACGAAGTGTACGACGTTGTTATCGTTGGGAGTGGCCCTGGCGGCCTCGTCGCGGCTGAGTACTTGACGCGGGACCCGTCGGTGTCGGTTTTGGTACTTGAGGCTGGCGTGCGTTCCATGCAGGCCACGGGTGGCGACAACATTCCGGATTACATTCGACCAGACTCTTGGACGGTATTTGACATTCCCGGCGAGTACTCAAGCGTGGCTTTCCCCAGCGACGGCAACGGGCGATACCGCATCGACTGGATCACGTCTCCCGCCCCTCTCTACCTCGGCAAAGTTGTCGGCGGATCCTCGTCCATGAACGGTATGTTGTACTTTCGCACGGCGGATTCGTACATCCAAGAAACCAAGTGGCCGTACGACGCCGCCACAGTCAACGCCAACTACGACGCGATTGAGCTGTCTTTTGGGTCGACGAACAAGCCGTCGACCGACGGGAAATGGTACCTGCAGGAAGCGTACAATATCCTCCGCGATGGCCTTGGAACGCAAGGTGGGTACCGTGAAGTCGACATCAACGCTGAACGGAACGCCAAGTCCAAGACATTTGGCCATCCCCCGTTCACAATCAAGAACGGATTGCGCGACTCCCCAGCCAAGACGTTCTACGGCGCAGCTTCGAGCCGCGCCAACTTGAAATTGATCAGTTCGGCGATGGCATCGCACATTGTTCAGTCGCAAGGCAAGGCCACTGGCGTCGTGTACTCGCTCAACGGCCAATCCATCACGGCGACGCTGACCGGTCGCGGCAGCGTCATTGTTGCCGCCGGTGCCGTCAGTACACCCAAGGTCCTCATTCAAAGCGGAATTGGTCCACAAGACCAGCTCAACACGTTGGCTAACAACCCCAACTTTCCTGGCATCGGCAATAACGCGTCCAAATGGGCCGTCAACAACAACGTGGGCCAGCACTTGTTTGACACGATCCAAGTCCTGACGACGTTCAAGCACCCGAGCATGAAGACGTTCACCCACGGATCGCACCCTCAGGCCGCCATCAACCAGTACGTAACCCAGAACAAAGCTGGTCCGTGGGCTAGCCCGGACCCGGTGCTCATCGGGTACGACTACAACGGCCCGGACCAGTTTCAAGTCACGGGTTTCTGCCACGGGTTCAACTTTGGCAGCACCGACCCGACTGAATTCGGCGTGTCAGTGTATTTGAACAATCCTCGATCCCGGACCCGGTGCGAGTTCAAAGCCGACGGAACGTACCATTTCAACCTCAAGGGCGAGCTGTACACGCACCCGGACGATTTGGCGGCCCTCGATCGGTTTTCGTCCAGCCTGCAGGTCAACTTGGAACGATCGGGCTCGACGTTTGTTCAACGAAGGGGCAAAGAAGGCGCGAACCACTACGGCGGGTCGTGCATTCCGTCCAACGACGCGGCTGACTCGTTTCGCTGTGCCGACGGGTCGTTCAAGGTGCTAGGCACGTCCAACGTGTTTGTGGGCGATGCCAGCCTCATGCGCGCTGGCACGGTGAACCCGTATGGCTTTACGATGCAGATCGGTCTCCAAGCGGGTCTCAACGTCCAGAAATTCCTCGCGTCGTCGTCCAACCCGCCCGCAACGTGCTCTGCCATTGAGGAAAACACCGACTATTTTGGCAACGACATTGGGACGTCCCGCCGTCAAACGGCCGCCGAATGCTGCAGCGACTGCGCGGCGCATCCCAACTGCAAGTTGTACGTGTGGTTTGAAGGTACGTGCTGGCTCAAGAATGCTGCCGGATCCAAATCGACGCAGCCTGGTCGTCGCGCAGCTATGTTGCAGTCAACAACACCTCCTCCAGTCACGACCATGCCTCCAACTACCACCCCACCGACCACCCCTCCCCCCACGACCTGTACACCCATCGAAGACAACACAGATTACACGGGGAAAGACGTTGGGGCCGTGCCTCGCAGCTCAGCTGACCTGTGCTGCGCCGACTGCCAAGCCAAGGCCGGGTGCACTGTGTTCGTGTGGTACCAAGGCTGGTGCTACTTGAAGTCATCGACGGGGACCAAGGTTTTGAACGCAATCGGCCGTCGAGCGAGCTTGCTCAAACCCCCCAGCACCTGCTCGTCCATCGAAGACGGCGTCGACTACTTCGGCAATGACATTGGGTCGAGTCAACGGCCCAACGCCGAGAGCTGCTGCGACGATTGCAAGGCCCTCCCCGGCTGCAAGTTGTTTACGTACGCTAGCGGCACGTGCTGGTTCAAAAACTTCAAGGGAGCGGCGGTCCCGACGCCCGGCGCCCGTTCAGGCTTTGTAGACTCGTCTGGAGGTATCACGTGTGGGGCGTCGGAGGTCGGAATCGACTTCACCGGCCGTGACCTGCGCAATGTCGCTGCCGCCACGGTGGCGGACTGCTGCAAGGTTTGCTCTGGCGAGACATTGTGCAATGCATTCAGTTGGACCCAAGACGGAATGTGCTACCTCAAGAGCGAGCGCGGATCGACCAAGGGAAATTCGTGGGTGACATCGGCCCGTGTGAACAAGTGCTCGCCGTTGGAAAAGGGCATCGACTACGAAGGCAACGATCTCTCGTCTGCCGCGGCCCCGTCCGCTGACGATTGCTGTGCCCTGTGCCGCCAATACAACGGGTGCAAAGCGTTTACGTATGCTTATGGCACGTGCTACCTCAAGAGCGGGAAAACGTCGACCAAAGCGAACCCGAACACCATGTCAGCCACCGTCGTGGCTTGAAGCGCAAGGTATCTGTAGTGTTGCTAACTTACATCTGCATACAATGGTTCTTCGTCCAGCGGCGTCCATGTCGGTCTGTCCGTCCCGTTTCCCCCGTGGACTCGACGCACGACGGGCTACCTTGTTGCAGCCGTCATCGTTCATAGACGAGAACGTTCGTGTTGCCCGATGTGAATGAAATGGTGGCCCACAACCTGTGTCAGGAAAACGCCATGCACTACTGTTCATGTTGCTACAATCCTTTGAGACATCTTGATGGGATTCCCTGCCCGATTTGGTCATGTTTGCCATCTCCATGCCCAGTGCAGTCCGTCGGGGTCGACAACTTTAAAACACGACGTGGCATGTCGACGCGAACGAGGCAACGTGGTGTCGAATCCAAGAAGCCAACCTCCACCCCGTCGAGGTCTTTTTCACATCAGATAGATCATGTTCGACAACAGAACGGGTGGTGTGTTTGTGGGGCTGCCGCAGCTGGACATGTTGACTCGTTCTGCACACGCAGTATATGGTTCATTTGCCCAGCAAAGGCATGCGTGCACGACATTGCTATAGCCTTTGCAGAAATCCTAGACATCTCTCGACAGGTGGAAGCACACGTGGGATGGTTGTCAACTTGGCAACACCATGCCGACTTTGGTAAAAATCCACATCCATGGACGTGGGTGTGCTGCAGGAGGATTTGCCTATGATAACGTGGATGCTGGCGCGGCCCGCCAAGATTTATCTGCACCGTTTGACATTGGACGATGACGTCCGTCGAGAAACTCGATCGTGATTAACGCGACAACACTTTTTCCACACACTGCTTCACATGCAATTTACGTGCACCTGGCGTCCTTGAGCATCTGGTCGAGCTGGCCGGTCGTCTCGAGCAAATTCAAGGCGTCGTAGCCACCGATAAACTTGCCACCGATCCAAATGTTGGGCAGTGTGTCTTGCTTGGTCACGCGGAAGAGCGAGTTGTACACGTCCATGCCGCTCGGGATGTGGTCCGGATTGTCGAGCCACACGCCAAAGTAGTCGTACCTGGCATTCTTGGACGTCAAGAGGGCCTTCGCCATCGCGCAGTAGGAGCAAGTGTCTTCGCCAAAGATAGCACAGCGAGCGTTGCGTTGGAAGAATTTGACCCAGATGTCGACTTCACTGGGGATTTCGGTGGGGGCGGGAGTTGGAGCGGGGGTCGGGGCAGGCGTCGGGGCCACGGTTGTAGTAGGGGCAGTCGTCGGAGGCTTCTTGGTGGTTCTAGACGTCGTCGTGGGCTTCGAAGTGGGGGCGGGGGTCACCACCGTTGTGGTCGGTTGGGCAGTAGTCGGAGGGACGGTCGGGAGCACATACGGCAGGATTTTCGTGGTGGCGTTCGTGCATGAGCTCGTGATAGCAATACCAGGAGGGCACGCAATGATCCTGGACGGGATCACTTCGCCACTGGCGGTGGTCTTCTTGCTCCAGCACGTCAGGACGTCCGAGAACGCGCCATCAAGGCACATCAAGACAACTTCCGCACCCCAGTCCTTCTTGAAGGCCGCTGCCATGTCCGTGATCGCCAACTTCTTGCCAATGTTGTTGGTGATGAGCAGGGGCGTCTTGAGCCTGTTGGTCAGCTGGACAACCGTGCGGAGGTACGTTTCGGGGTACAGCCCACCGCAGGGGTAGCCAAAGTTGGGCACGTTGCCTTCCGGGACGGTGGGGGACCACATGTCCGGGACATTGCGGGAGAACCCCACCGGGTACGCGTTCTGGAGGGCAACTTGACCGACGGCCGAGATGGCTGCCGGTGGAAAGAACTGGATGGGTTCGTTACAGATCGGGACGGAATAGTCGTTGTAGCGGGGAATGAGGTTCCCGGACACCAGGTTCGTCTTCATGACTTCGGTTGGGTGCGAGCACAAAGGCTGGCAAAAGCACGTGCAGTGGCCGGGATACCAAATGCTCGTGTGGACCCACACATCTTGGGCGCCCCAGTTGACAGGAAACGCCGCCGACGCAGCAGACGCGACGAGGGCAACAACAGACAGCTTGACCATGGTGACGAGGCTGCAAAAAGGAAAGTGCGATCGTCGTTCGAGGAGTTGGAGGGGCAGGTAGCAAAGGGAAAACACGGAGTTGAGAAGACTGAGGTTCTCGTAATAAAAGTAGAAGTAGAAGTGACGGTGGGCGAAGCCCATCAGTCAGTGTAGGCCAACTGGCCAATGAGGTCACGACATCCTAATGATGTGACGTGGCCTTCGCTGCAACTTACTACGACATGAGGAAAAAGCCTCTAAAAGGCACAAAAAACCTCCTACTGTTGCAGGACCATCCTGCGACCTGATGGACAGGGCAGTGGGGATGTTCTCGACAGAACAGGGTGTTCTGACTCGAGGCAGCCATCCTCGGCACAACCACCTTCTGAGTTGGAGCGAGACTGGCCTCGCCTGTCTCGCACCTGCTAATAATTCCGCGCATCTGACTAACTCGAGTGCCGCACCTCCACGACCCGCCGATGGGTTTTTCCCAAACGACGATTGCACCATTTCATCCAATTTCCATAAAATGTCGAAATTTGCGTTTTTCTTGGCTAACCTCGGTCAACCGGCGCGATCCAACCCTAAACCCAATACATAGAAGCCAATCAAATCAACGTATTTTCATTGAATTCGGACAAAATTGAGATTTTTTCGCTTGGGCCGACAATGGTTGGGACATACCGTGGCACCAA